GCTAGATTTTGAGATATTGCATAATATCTCTGCCATAGTAACCTGTGGTAAAAGTGTTATAATAGTGTCAAAATGGCGACTTTCCACTAAAATACAACCATTAATTTCTCGAAAAAAAGGCTGGTGACCCCAACTTTTTTTAGGTCAATATCCTCATATTGCCTTGGAGTACAGTTTATTGCAAAATAAATAAATTCTCGTTTTTTAATTTATGAGTAGGCTTCTCCTTAAATCCAGTTTATATTTTTTACATTTACTTTAAAAATAAAAATATTTATTATCATACCTGAATATGATAAATGACCTGGAGTAGGTGTACTTGTACTTGTAAATGCAACTTTTAAAACACCACGACTCGCAATCTGTGATTCAAATCGTAACCATGCAAAAGAAAGGGGCGTCGTCTGCCAGTGCTATCCGCCATTTTGAATGTTAAAACGGTCACCCTAACTTAATCCTAAAGAGTTATGTTCTGCCACCCTAGTCATGTCAGAATTTATCCTGCACTATTATTGGACATCATGGGAAATGGGAATCATTTTAACGCGCGATGTAGACACGCCCTACATCGCGCGTTAAAATTTGCATATAACATTAGCGCGTAACAAAGTTGTGATAAAGGAAAGAGTGGTATAAACAAGGATAAGTGATTACTTGAAATCGATACCAGGAAGGGGGAAGGTAAAAGAAAAGTTATACAACAATTTATTATTTAATAATTTATTAAAATACATAAGTTTGTCCAACTCCCTGTGATAAAACGAAAGGAATAAGCGATTAACAAATATTGCATGTTCAATAGAGGTCTTTCACGTGACGTCATTAACCCGGAAGTCGGCCATTTTGGAGGTCCAACAATTGCGTCGTCTGTGTCGTCTGTGTCGTCAGCGATCATAACAATAGTACGCGTAAATGGGTTGATTGTTTGCTAGTGTATCTGTTCATTTCCTTCAGTCATTTCCATTTACTTCTTTCATTTCAAACATGTCTGGCTCTAAATGCCCCACAGATAAATGATTCAGAAATTACTTCGACAAATCTACTTAACCAGTTGTGACTTGTAGATTCAATGAATATTTAAATGACTCCCTCTATAGTATATGTATTTTTCTATTTTTGAGTTATTGTACTATAGGCCTGAGGGCATTGTACTTAATAAATTCATATCATATCATATATGCACAACATGAATATTGTGACGTTTACAAGACCATATCTGTGAGTGGTATTTTACACTAAACGTCACAACTGTGGATATTATGTACAATAGTCAAGTGATGAATAATAAGATTCGATTGAAAACAAGAATAAACAATTACAGACAACAGTGTATTTCTTATTTCATAATCACCAATATCAGATATATATTTGGTTTTACTTTGAACAAGACTGTTGTACAAGATTTCTGAAAATAAAAAAAAACAGGCCCTGGACCCCCATGTACAAGATATATCATCCTTCCT